GATGACTCCTTTTTTTGGAATTAGCCGTCCCGTACTTCTAATGTAATAGAAAGAAACAGAAAGTGCCTTATCTTCTAAACTGTTTTGATAGACAAGGCACCATAGACTATGAGTGACAAATTAGAAAGCAGGCATCTATCTGCCTTTCATGTTAGGCTTCCTGTTAGCTCAAAGAAATTCTGTCTTTTCCATTGCTCGTTGATCAGGTTCATCCCTTCTCAGAAAACAGTTAGTAGGACTCTTTAGGCTTTGGGATTTATCCAAGCATTTTCCCTAAGCAAAGTTAAATTCTCTCCCATGTCTTCATGTTGGGATTGTATACTATTTTAGTTAAAGAGTTTTTCCAGCTTTTTTGAGTTGAGATCAGAAGTTGCAGACTAAAAGGAATGCTGGAATTATTTGAAAGCCGGATTTTGGAGGAAAGGTGTTCAAGTATTAATTGATTCATTGTTGTTTCTCACCTTATTCTTGGAAAGGATTTAAGGTGATAGGTGCATACAAAGACTTTCTCCACTGCCAAGTTTTGTGAAAGAGTTGCTAAGGTTCACTTTCTCACCTTCTAGTCACTCTTCCACCAAGAACTCTGGCTCTGTCCTACTCACAATACAGGGCCTCACAGCAGGGTTACCAGGGATCTCCTTCCCTAGCTAACTGGACACGGTTCTTTATTTGATCTTGCTGTAGGATCTAAAAGTGTCTGCGCCTCCCTTTTATGCACATTTTCCCCCTGATTATAACAGTGATATACCAGTATTGTGAAATTTTTGGAAAAAGACATCTGTAATTTCTATCCAGAAAACCTTTTCCTCATTTAAATGTTTCTATGACAACTGTCTTATTCCTTTCCTCCTATTCTCTTGTGTTAATCTCCTTACTAGGTAGCAACAACTAAAAATCATCCCAAAAAGGCAGCTTCTGCTTCCCCCTGCTCCAGGTCTGCTCAGCTACCATTGTTACCATCTCACTAAAAGGTACTGCTCTCCATCTAGTTGCTAAAGCCATAAGATAAGGACTCAACCTTTACTCCTCTCCTTCAATCTCCATTTATAATTAGTGGCTAAAATCCTGCCTATTCTTTCTTACTAATTCATTTACTTGTCCTTTTTCCACTCATGACACCTTAGCTTGGACTCTGGTTATTTCTCACCTACCTCAGTTTTCTAAAAGCACTGTACTTTGAACCTCTTAGGAATTCATTTATCTCCCTTCAGCGCTTATTTAGCTTTGAAAATCAGGGCTTCTTTGACCTCTTTCTATACCATCAAAACTAAACTTGGTGCTGAGAGTCCCCTCTCCTCTTCTCACACACTCCTCCCTTCTCTGTATGCCACCATTTAGGGCCCCCCACCCCCCCAAGTATCCCAGCACCCATACTACCCTTATAACACTTAATCACATTCTGTTGTAATCGCCTATTATCTGTTTCCTTAAAGGCAGCTTTTAGATCTTATTCATGATTGTACAGTAGTATCCAGCCCAGAATGTTTAGTAAATTTTTCATAATAAATGGATAGAAGGAAATGGGTGGCCGTTAATATGAAAAAATTTTAAAGATGTTATGTTAGTTTTATGGTTCTGGATGCCTTAAAATTTGTATCTTAAAGTGATATGATTGGCCTTTGTTCACCTGTTCCCGTGGTAATGGTTCTGTGGACGAGCTTCCAGAGTGTGAAGTATGATAGTAGGGCAAAGCAGGAGGGGAGCTGATAGGCTGGGAGCTGATCTTATAGGCTGGCTGGAGTGGGCTCCACCACCTGGTATGCAGGGAAGGGTAGGCTTTCCTGTGGTAACAGCAGTGTAGCAGAGATGAGATGAGATGGCTGTTTAAGTTAGGGCAGTTGTACTAGGGATGAAGAAGAGGGAGCATATCAGTGACTTCGTGATTGGATGTGGGGTCAGGGTGGAGGAATCGAAGTGACTCAACTTTCTGGACTGGGTACTTGATGTAATCATTAACTAGTTTTGTTAGTTTTTGAGATTATTTTTGATATCCAGGTGAGTATGTCTGCTAGGCAGGCAATAGGATATGAAGTTTGGGAGAGCACATCAGTGGAGAGTCATCAGTTTGTGGTCTTTAAAACTAGAAGAGATCATTTAGATATATGGCTTGCGTGACAATGGTCTAGAAAAACAAAACTCTGAGTAACACTGAGTAAGGGCAGGAGAAGAAGAGATCTGGGAAAAAGCAATGTCAAAGAAACTGAAGGGTTGAAATTGAAGAGGAAATTTGGTGATAGGCCATAAAATTTTTTCAGCTTTAAAGAGAATAACAAGAAAATGGGTCTGTCTTTACCTGTCAGGTTGAATGCTTCAGTATAGACTGTCTGCTTGGCTTTTTGTTGGGCAGTTCCACCTTACCTCTATTGAGGCAGTCCAGCACCCCAGCCCAAATCTGGAACCCATGACACTCTTACACCAGATCTAACACATGACCTTTAAAGTTCCATTCAAGTTAATCTAAGGTTAAAAACAGATTCTGGACCCACTCCCAGAAATTCTGACTCAATGGGCCCAGGGATCTTAAATTTTACAAGGACATATCTGGGTGTCTCAGGAACAGTCTTGTGTAGGTAGGTGCTATATCTCTGCATTTTATTTAATTGCAAGAGAGCAGGACTTTATTATAGAGGACTTTAAAAATACAATTGTGATAAAGAGATTGGCAACCATGGAAACCTGGCTGGAGCTTTCTGCAGTGTCTGAGGGAGTGAGGTGGGGGTGGGAAAAGCGCCACCGTCTGATGTAATCTATTAGAGATGCAAAGTTTTTTTTCATGGATCTTTGCAGCAGATGCCCTTGGTGCCCTTGCTCATATGGTCCACCAGTGATTTCAGCCAGAACCCAGAGTTCTGTTTCTTACTCTATAAGTCTTGCCAGGACAGGTTCTTCAAGGCTTGCAAAGGAGCGGAGAGGTTAATATCCTAGGCAATCTTCAGCCAGTTGGGAACTCAAGCCTAAATGTCCTGTCTTCTTCAGGGGACCCACAGTCACCCTGATTGCATCACATGGTTTTGTTAGCTTTTTTCCTTCCATATTGTACCTTTTCTTCCCTCCCTTCTGTTCCCTGGGATCATCTTCTATTTAATCTGCTATAAAACCTTATCTATTAGTAATGTGTCATTTGAGCTGACTTTACAGGTTAATAAATGCAAACAAAATCTGTTTCTTCTTAATGTCCCTGTCTGTCAATTTAGCACCTAAAATAATGTGTGGGGGAGGAAGGCAAAGAGAGAACATATTGTGCGATGCAGAATGGTACACACATTGCTCGAGTTTAAATTTATCCACAGACATTCTGTAATAAGATCATTATGTGAGAATTTATTGGATTTTTTAGCAAACTCTATGTCTTTCATTTTATTTAGGAGTTGAAGGGATATGGAAAAAAAAACCCAAAATTTTGACACAAATAGCTCTAGATGTGCCTCTTTTTTTCATTTATCATTTATTAATTTATCTATTTTATTCATATATCTTCATCTTATTCTTGAGTTATGGGTGGTTCTTTTATAAGACCAAATTACAGAATATATAATAGAAAACTACTAAAATGTTATCGTGCAGAAAGGGGAAGATCTTTACAGATTTAGGATATAAATTACCAAAGATCAGAAAAAAAAGATCTATTTCAGGGATATCTTTTAAAAGATACCTGGTGTGCCTTAAATGCAAGATTTCTGTTTACTTAGCTGGAAGATACTCATATCCACATTTCTTCTTTTAGCTTTGACTGGACTCTAGGAATTAAAAGTTGAAATGAAAGGTAAACTTGTTCTGGATGATCACTTTCACTCTTGATTATTAAAGCTGATATCTGAAAGCAGTTACCACAGAGGCTGCCACACTGCAGATACTCACTCAGTAAGGTTATGGGGCGAATGAGAGGAATATGCTGAATTGCCTAATATGTATGTCTTAGACTGGTGTCCCCATGAGTGAGAGTAGATGAAAGTCCATGTTCTTAGACTGCTCTTGCCTCACTCCACCAACCTGAGACTACAGATGTTTATTTTGGTCTGTAGGTTTATTTTGTAGGGGACCAGGCATCCCTACAAAACACTTTCTTGTATAGCATTTTGACATTTAAATGATGAGATCTTTGGATAATCTGGTATTCTGACCTTTCAGTTAATATTTCAATGCAGACTCAGAGTAAGTGACTTGTCCAAGGTAAAAATCATCCTGTGTGGTTAATTTTTGATATGGCAAGGACTAGAACTCAGATCTCTGCATGTAATCATCTTTTTGTCTGATTTTAAAAATGGCTCCCATCTCTACCCCAGGTTAGAGAACAAAACAAGGCACTTTTTTTGAATTGATTCCAAATGGCTTGTAGAGTTAATAAGAATTAGAGGTTCTAGATTTGACTTACAATATTCACAGAAAAATTGGCAGTGAGGAGATTATACAAATATATTATTTAGAAAATCAAGACTAATAGATGGGCAAAGTACATAAGCAAACAAGTGAAAAGTTATAAACATATGGATATTCAACAGTGTGGGAATAGCTTAGAAAACAATATAATACTTTTTATAAACTTTTGCAATCAATAAAATGCTAGTTACAAATGACTTAGAAATAGTGTTAATCTACTAGGAATTCTGGATGAGTTCCTTTTCTAGTTTCCTTTCTTCTATACTGCCTTCTACCTACTGGAATATATTCTGTAGATTCAGATTTCTTTCTTTTAAGCACTAATTTTATGTATAGAATATTGACTAAATGTCAGTTTTCTGAAATTCTCTCAGTCTGTCCACTGAGTCTAAAATTCACCAACTTATTTTCTGGCCTATACACCATGGAAAATGGTGAGTTTGCTTTTGTTATTCTTGATCTGTACATTAAAAACTAGCTGAAATGAGAGTTGGTAAAGATTTAGTGAACTGATAGAAAATGTTTCTATTATTTGCTAGAACCATCTGAGTGTAAGTAAAAAAAAAAAAAATTCCTAAAAACAAAATGAGTATCGTAATCAAATGTGTATTTCTTTTCCGTAGAGCCTCTGTTATGCACCTAAAACCATATTGGAATCTGCAGAAGAAAGCACAACCTCTTCAAATTAGCAAGGAAACTCTGAGAACTTCCATGAGCCACCAAGAGGCTATACATGATGAAAAATGCGAAGCTAGCTACATGAAATCAAGTGTCTTTCCTTCCACTTCTCCTGGTAAAGCATCATCTCGAAAGCCTTTTGGGGTCCTTTCTCCAAATGTTCTGTGCAGCATGAGTGGGAAGAGTCCTGTAGAGAGCAGCTTGAATGTTAAAACCAAGAAGAATGCACCATCTGCAACAATCCACCAGGGCGAAGAAGGGGAAGGGCCGCTTGATATTTGGGCTGTGGTGAAACCAGGAAATACCAAGGAGAAAATAGCATTCTTTGCAGCCCACCAGTGTAGCAATAGGATAGGATCTATGAAAATAAAAAGCTCCTGGGATATTGATGGGAGAGCTACTAAAAGAAGGAAAAAATCAGGGGATCTTAAAGAAGCCAAGATACAGTTAGAAAGGATGAGGGAAATCAACAGCAGGTGCTATGAGCCTGAGCCTTTTGCGTGTGGCATTGAGCACTGTTCTGTGCATTACGTGAGTGACAGTGGGGACAGTATCTGTGCTGGGAGGCCTCTGTCGGTCATACAGATGGTTGCCTTCCTGGAGCAAAGAGCCAGTGCTGCTCTGCTGGCCAGTTGTGCGAAAAACTGCACTAACTCACCTGCCGTGGGGAGGATTTCTGGGCAATCCAGAGGTGGGCCGCCAGCCTCCGAGCCCTTTTCTGCCCCAGGAGCTTGTGAAGAACCCATGGAAAGGGGAAATCCTGAGGTTGGTGAACCCCAGAGTGAGCCAGTCCGCGTCCTCGACATGGTAGCCCGGCTGGAGTCTGAGTGTCTGAAGCGGCAGAGCCAGAGTGAGCCTGGGAGCCTCTCGAGGAATAACAGCTTCCGTCGAAATGTAGGCCGGGTGCTGCTTGCAAACGGCACTCAGGCTGATGAAGGCAAAACAAACAAAGGCGCTTTGGAGGCCCCTGTGTCTGTGGACTGTGGCCCGTCAAGAGCTGACCATTGTTCTCTTGAGGGGAAGCAGGCCTGGGACGGGGCTCCTCCAGGCTGTCCCTCATTGCCAGCAGGTGTGAGTTTCCACATGGATAGTGCAGCAACAGAGCCAGATCAGCACACTGCTGTGAAAAACAGCAATAGGTATGATGTAGAAATGACGGAGGAACCTGAGCCACCTTTTCCTCCTCATACCTGTCCCCAAACCACTGAGTTGCCCACAGATGCTGTTGAAGAGCTTGTGCCACAAAATCCTGATCAGCGAAGAAAAGAATCTGTGTGCATTAGCATCACTGTGTCTAAGGTGGAGAGAGACCAGCCATCTAGTTTAAAGTCCTGTGGAGACCCACTTCCGGGGAGGCTGTTCTTTTTGCTGCCTGGTCAGCAGCAGTCAGACTGTTCCCAGTTGAATGAAAGCACAACCCAAGAGTCTCCAGAGGCCAGCCAGCCTGAAGATGGTGCTGAGGGTGGCAGTGCATCTGAGGAAAAAAGTGTTTCAGCTGATTCGCTCGTCCCAGCGCCAGCCCCTCCTGTGGAAAGTACAGTACCGGTGCTCGAGGCCTCCACTTGGAAGAAGCAGGTGTCCCATGACTTTCTGGAGACCAGATTTAAAATCCAACAGCTTTTAGAACCTCAGCAGTACATGGCTTTCCTGCCCCACCACATTATGGTGAAAATCTTCAGATTACTTCCCACCAAGAGTTTAGTGGCTCTTAAATGTACCTGCTGCTATTTCAAGTTCATCATTGAATACTACAACATCAGGCCAGCAGATTCTCGCTGGGTTCGAGACCCACGCTATAGAGAGGACCCTTGTAAGCAGTGCAAGAAAAAATATGTGAAAGGGGATGTGTCCCTGTGCCGGTGGCATCCCAAGCCCTATTGCCAGGCATTGCCTTACGGGCCAGGATACTGGATGTGCTGCCATCGTTCTCAGAAAGGCTTCCCCGGCTGTAAGCTGGGGCTTCATGACAATCACTGGGTCCCTGCTTGCCACAGCTTTAATCGGGCAATCCACAAGAAAGCAAAAGGGACTGAAACTGAAGAGGAATACTAAAGTCTATGTGAGAGGCGACCAAATGGCTGATTTTTAATACTGCAAAACACCACCTAGACTCACTGTTCAAGTGAGTGTTGCCTCTCAGAGCCATCACTCTAGGAGAATCTGTACCTGTTCTTCAGGACTGCTGTTGGGCATTTTTTCATTTACAAGCTGTACAAGAAAACTGGTCTCATTGTTTTATAGTGGCGCCTCCCATTTGATCCAGGGTGGAAGCCCAGTTTGATTCAGTTGGCTGTGAATAATTATGCCTGTTTTCCCAAATCAAATCCATCCTCAGAGGACGAAGACTTGCCATCACCAAGGATGGACAGAAAAGTTCATTGCAGACTATGCAGGCAGTCCCCAAAAAGGGGTTCCAGAAATTTCTGAGCACTGGCAGGCACCATATTTGAAATAAGTGAGTAGTGTCCTATGGAAAGAAGAGCAGCAGTCATGGATGAAAAGTATGCTTATGAAGGAGAAGTCAGGCACCTTACCTTAGGCCTTGTATGCTTGATCCTGTGAGATTGATGTTTGTGGATGGAGGTGGATTTCATGCCCTGTGGTGTTTACAGTGTATATAATGGTTGTGTTTTCACAGGGCTGTGAAAGTGCACATTAAACCCGAGCGCCTTTACCTTAGATGAGTGCTTTTGGCCCCTCTGTATGTAACACTATTAAAACCCATTTGTGTATAGTGGACAGCTGACGAAATATCATCACCACAATGCAGCTAGGATAGTGTTGCAGCTATAATTGTGTGTGTGTGTTTTTATTGTTTCAAATTTGTATATCCTGTATAAAATATGAATGTTTTGAAAATAAACTATGAATGTTTCCTGTATAATATATGAATGTTTCTGATAAGAAATTCTAAATAGTTAAGAGTACCTGTTGAAAAGATACCAAATAATGGTTTAACTGGACAACCTTAAAATTAGCATAGAGAACAATCCTACGTTATATTTTAGTGATTCAACAAGATTGAGAGATTATATAGTCAGATTATAACATTCTTGTCTACTTTATTCTGTCTGGTTACAAATTTTTTTTAATTTCAATAAAAACATGCATCTTAAATGGGACCTGAGTTGCAGATTTTTTCCCCTTCTTTTTGCAAGTAATGAAGGATGTTGTAAATTGAGTTGTAAGAATTAAAAACTTTTTGAATTGTTATGGGGAGGGGGAGAGAATTTTTTTCTGCTACTGAAGAGAGACCAATCTATATATATAAAAAGCCAGCAACCAGAACGCCGTAATGACCAGAACGACCGGTTGCTATGACATCCACTGCGGCCATTGAACTGGCTGGATTAGGGGGTTGAGCCAGCTGGCCAACCTTCTGCAGCCCCTCCCCCTGGCTGGCCCCACCCCTTATCGGACTCTCCCACCCCGATGGAGGGCAGGGCCGGCTGGCCAACCCCCCCACAGCCCTTCCCCCTGACCAGCCCCGCTCCCGATCGGCCCCCAACACCCTCAACTCCTCCCACCAGCCAGCTCTGCCCCCGATTGGCCCCCCCACTCCGATCAAGGGCAGGGCCAGCCAGCCAACCATCCATGGCTCCTCCCCCAGGCCACTGGCCCCCATCGGCCCCCACCACTCCATTCTGGGGTGGGGCTGGCTGGCCAACCTCCCGCTTCTCCTCCTCCTGACAGGCCTGGCCCCAATTGGGGCCAGGCCGGCCAGACCCGACCTGTGCACGAATTCGTGCACTGGGCCTCTAGTTTTAAACATAACAAGCTTACATTTTTGCAGCCCTTTAACACTTACTTTGAGTTTGTCATGTGCCCAACAACCCCTGTATTTCCTGTTGGATGAGGTGTTATCTGACATTCTTACAGCTTGTCTGGGCATAATTAGTCAATTGTTCAGAAGTCATTAAGATGTATTCAGGCCTATGATCATGTACTGCTTGTTGGGGCTGGGAGGTTTTGGGCCCCAGAAAGCTGCTGTGGAGGATCTAAAAATTAGGTGGCTTGAAATCAAATACCCACCAAAAAAAAACCTTGCAACCTCTGTAAGCTCTGGGCTGTGGAGACGTGGTGGTAAATGACCCAGTGGAGGGGCTGATCAGGAAGTGATGAGTGAGGGCTGTGCTGTGATGGTCCCAAAGGAGAAAGATGGAAAGGTTGAGTAGGTGTTGGCCAGGTCTGCCAAGCAGCATCGAAGCCAGGTGGAGCAGGAGTCATCTGTGGCTGAGGCGGTGGTGGCCCCTTTGGTTTCTTCTGCCCTTATCCTTAGGCAGTATCTGCTCCTCCCTGAACTACAAAGTGTTTCTTGATGCTGAGCAGGTCTGCCCTGTTAGACACATCATAATGACACTTCTGATAAGCTGGATCCTGCAGGCTCACTGATTGTGACAGGACTGAAGAGAGGCTGAGAACACTTTCCTCCTCTGGTCTTTGGCCATTCAGGAGGCCCTTGTGACACCCTGTCCTTGCCCCATGAGAAGCTCCTGCTGATGTCCACACACCAGGAGGGGCTATTGCACTGGCACCACAGTCTGACTTTGGGCATCAGCAGTGAGAACGAGAAGAATTTTACAAATCCCAGAACCCAAGATACTTCAGGGGTAGGTCAGGGTCAAGAGTACAAGACACAGAACCTTCTTGGTTTGAAGAAGGGTCATTTTGTGTTTGGGATCAGATTATTTGACCAGCTCTTAAGAATCAGGAAACCAAGTCTGACCCAATTGAACCTCCACGGAACCAGCCTCTCCAGCAGAGATGTGGGGATTTGGGGCTGATAAGCTCCAATGCTGTGTCATGGCCTCTTATCAAGGTTACAGCTTTGCAAACGTGGCTGTTTCTGTTTTCATTTTCCCACTGGATTTTAGTAAAGTTAATGGTGAGTGTCCTTCCTCATGACTCACCCCAGCTGAGGTATGTTGGAAATGCTTTTTTTCTTTTAATTAAAAATTTTTTTCCAATTACACTTAATATACATTATTACATTAGTTTCTGGTATAAAACATTGTGCTCAGATATTTATATAGCTTATGAAGTTATATATGACTTATTTATATGACTATGAATGTTGGAAATGCCTTTCAGCCTGAGAGTCCCCTGGGCTGAATTTCCAGTGTTTGTCCTCCTTCCCTGTGGTTTGCTCTAAACCGGCAATCTCAATGGACCTTCCTATTAGGTTTGTTGTGATTCTGAATGTAGGATTACCATTCAGTGTATGGTAAGTGCCCAGCAAGTTAGCTATCATTGTTGTTGGCTCTTAGGTCTACATTTGCTCAGAGTGGACACATAGGATAAATAACACTCTTGCTTGGTTTTCCTGACTCAGCCGTTCCAGATCTGGTTTTCACGTGGGACACAAGCTGTGACTCTGAGGAGCTGAACTGACCTGGAGCAGAGGACACAGTAAGAATAGCCCAACCCCATCTTGGCATGCCCTTCTCCCTTTTGAATGACGCGGCAGGACCCAGTTCCCAGTGCTCTGTGTGAACCATAGAGAATTTTAGCAGGTGGCATCAAAGGGTAGCCCCTCCCTGGTCTCCATTTCTCCCCTGAGGAGAAAGACGCTGTGCTTCAGAGCCCCCTAGTGCCAAGCTGGGGAAACTAGCCCATTTTTTATTTTCTTCAACAGTCCCAGGCTACCTCCTTCCGTTACACCTTGCTGTAGATATTAGACTTGTAAGAGTAAACAATGTGGGCATCAGGATCCTAGCCCTTCTCCCTCCCCCACTCAAATAAAGAAAACTTCCCCTTAGCTTTTGCTCAGAGGCTCAGATTCATTTAGCCTAGTTTTTATCTCCTATCCCTCACTTCACCATTTGGAAGAAAAACCAGAACCAGAGAAATCTGGAAGAATCACTGTGGCGAGCCAGCTCAGCCAGGTTCGGTGAGCCTGAGAGGGAGCGGTGAAGGATTGAGAAAAGACAGACAAGAGAAGAAAGCTGGGTCTGGGTGGGACGCTGTCCTCTCTGATGGAGACCTAGCGACAGCGCCACAGCCTGAAAGCCATGTCTTTATTTTATAGTGAGATTCCACGAGGCAAAGTAGGGCGTGGTCAAGATGTTTACAACATTCTCGTGGGTTTCAAATCTACTCAATTACATGCACGTGAACTCTGTCAAGCCCACATCACTCAGCCACGTGGGACCACAGGTTCAGACCATAGGTTCAAGATTATAACTATAGCCTTTGGCTATAATGTGCTGGGAGGGCTTTGCCCTCCAAGCTAGGACTTGCCCGTGGCTTTGCCATGAGAGGGCCGTGCCCTCTTATTAGTCCGAGGCTTGAACCTGCCCAAACGCTGCAGCTGCTCCCTACAAATCAGAGAGCATCTTCCCCATCTTTGGGCAGTTTGACTTTGTCACTTGCCCAGTGGAGATGGCCAAGGAAGAAATGAATTGGAAATGGACAAAGGGCTAAGATTAAATTTCCCGGCCTTGTCAAAATGACTCTGGCTTTAAAATAGCCACGTGAAAGGATCGATCAAATTGACCACATCCCCTTAGCACATTGATGGCTCTGCTCAGGAGGTATCTTCTTTGGGACCCCACCCCCAACCTTGGCCTGCCCACTGGGTTTGGCTGGGTGTACCCTGTGCATCTATCATTTCATTCCCATTTTTGTATCTGGACTTCACTCTGGGCCCAGAGAGGGCAGCTTGGTCATGCCATCCCCAGTGCCTCCAGTACACCCTCATAACATGTTTATATTCCCCTCTAGTGGCCATCTTAATATGAGGGGTACAGGCAGATTCTTACTGCTCTGGGTTGTTTCCCATCTAGTATGAGAAACCTGAAGGGCGGATAAAGGGATCTAGGAAGCTCTCCTCTGGCCACAGCTGGCCCCATGGGAACGTTCTTAGGGATGCTCCACGGCAGCCTGAGGACTTCTGCTGGGTAACAGTCAGTGTGCATTTGGTGTGATCTGGGTTCTGTTGTTGCCAGGGGCTCCCCTGGTGGCAGGCTGCTATGGGCTAACTGCAGAAGGTGAGGGTTACGCATGATGTTGGAGTTCCCTTCCTGGGCTCTGTCCAGCCCTCCCCTCCCCTTCTAACTGCAACTTTTCAGGGCCTCCCTGCCAACTTTTTTGGATTGGCTTCCAGCACTTTTTATTACATGGGCATTCCCAGGCATTTTCCAGGGCTTTAGTTGCCTTCATTCTTTCTTCACTCAGCTGACTGGCTCTTCGTCCTCTCTTTCATCCCATAGCTTGCCACAAAAAAATGACAGAATAAAGCCACTCTGCACCAAAACCCTTCTTGCCATATATCGCAAACTGCACCAATAAGAGCTGGTGTTATCTAGTCTTAGTGTCTGTAAAGGACCACATTCCTTTAAGTGCATTCTCTGCTGTGCTAAGCACCCAACATGACACTCTGAGAATCTGATAGCTTCTATCCCCATTTTCCTTTGGGTTCAGACAAGCTAGTGTTGCAATCTCTGTGAGTTGGTGAAAGTACCTGTGTGAGAAATGTGCAATCCCTTGTATTGACATGCACGCCATTCCTAAATTTGTGGCCATAGCTGGTGTTTGCACAACCTCATGGGAAGAATAAACATCACTGTGGTTATGCACCCTTGGGTGGCATCCAGTGTATTTATAGCTAACTGGCTTAAGGGAAACCAGTTAGGCAGCACCCCAATTTTAGATGGCTTATTTGACCTTGGTGTTATTTTAAAAGGAACAGAGCCTCTTGAGTTGGTAGCTGGGAGCAGAGCAATGGCAAATATACACTACAACAACCCCCTCAAAGGCCCCACATCCACTTTTTAATTAGCAGGGAACAGATATCAGAACCAATTAATTTTAGGTCTCTTTGTCTCAAATTTTTTGGATTAAGGAGGACTATAAGAAAGTTAAAAATTACAAAGTTCTACTAAATTTTGCTTTCCTCTTTGGAATGATAAAGCACAGCAGGGATTAGGTTCTAAGGTTAGCAATTTGGGGGAAATGACATACCGCTAAAATTATTCTAGGAAATCCTTTGTGTTCATCACCCAGTAGAGGATGACAGTATGACATATACAGTGGTGGGAAATGTGTAAGCCGTGTAAGATGGGGTACTCGTGCGGAGTGACAAGCAGTGTGCAGAAACAGACTCGGGGAGCAACAGATCCCA